TGACCGAAGATAACTCTTCTTTCTTGTTTTGCCTGGAAAAGGCTAAAGATATTAAATAAAACATACAAAAGGCAGAGTAATGAGCGCCAGTAAAAAAAAGGACGTGTAATAAATAATGCTAAAAATACCAAAAAAAAGAAGGAAAAATGCCCATTAAAGTATTACCAACAGTTGTCAGTCTTTTATTTTCAGTTTCACCTTTGTTATGTGTAAATTAAATCAAATTTCTTTCAACACAAAAGTGCCAGTTTACAATCAATTCACGCACAAACAGAGAACACGCACATGTTTGTATGCAAGCAGAATTAAATCTTTTGACGAAAATCACTGTAATTCTGCCAAGCATACATACAATACATACATATGTACGGGCAAAAGTGTGTGGTGAGTGTGAATGTACTATATGCCATTTGGGATATAAATGATGTTTTTTCCGTTAGCAAATAACTCCTTTTCGGATCACCGTCAGTCGGCTAGTTAGTCAGCCAGTCAGTCAGTCAGTCAGCAAGTAAGTGTGAGCTTATTTGTAAGTAGTAAGTTAGTCACTATAGTTTCCTGCATACATTCAGGCGTCAAGCTTATATTATATTGTGCGAGTTGTATGTAGTATCTATTGCTTTGCCTTTGCAAAGACCAAGTTGATGCTAACCGGTGTCTGACCCATCACGCAAACAAGTAAACAAACAAACTGTTGGTAAACAAACATGCTTTTGGCTTTCCGTACTTTAACACGTACACATATGTATGTACATGCATACATACATACTACTACTTAAGACTTATAAGTGTTCATACATACATATATTTGTATAATTGTAAGAAGTTCCGAAAATGTAAATATATACATACACATATTTTAACAGCAAAATCAATATGTATTTTTACCTACATTTACACATACATATGTATGTAAATATACGCTTGGGTACAAAATGTTTTGCCATCATTGTATTTGCTGTGTATTTGTGTTGGCAATAAAGTACTATATACGAGGGTATTAACAAAAGTTCGGTAAGTCGTCCAGAAAAGAAAGAAACAATTTTTGTTTTATATTTATTCGTAATCTTTGTTCTTTTTTATCTTCCCTAAATAATGGCCATTAATTTCAATGCATTTTTTTTTACCTTTAGATTGCTTCTGAAAACACTAACCGCATTATTGATCACCTCGTTGTTATTAAAGACATTTCTCTTTAAATTTTTTTCTAATTTTTTGAAGTAAACAGAACTCACCAGGTGTTATATCCGGATAGTTCGATCCCAGAGGTCGCAATAAAATTAAAATCAGATTTTACAGGTGAGTTTGCTCCTGTTGGACTCCATACCATGGACTGCTGTTTGGTTTCTAGATCGTACTTAAAGAAGCAAGATTCGTTACCAGTAACGATTTTACTAAAGTTACGAGACTGACCATTTTCAAATTTGTTTAGGAGAAATTGAGCAAAATGCACCCGAGCCTCTTTATGGGCCTCATATAAAATTCGTGGTACCCATCGAGCAGATTTCTTCGTGTAACCCAGATGATTACTTAAAAATCGCAATACAGCCACGGCGCTCAAACCCGCAGTCATTTTTTGTGTCAATCGTGGGTTGTCGTCAATTTTGAACTTAAGCAGAGCTACAGTGACGTCATTAGTAGAAAATTTTGGTCACCTTCTCTGGTCTCGTCCTCTACGGAAAAATGTCCGGTCTGGAAACTTCGGCACCACTAAGAAATAGTCCTTAAAAACGATGCAATCGTTCCATATGCAATTTGGCACTCACTGATATTTTACAGCCATTAAGTAAATTATGCCGAAACCCGAAGAGTGTCATATGACGAATTTCTGTTTGCGTGATGGTGGTATTTCACCTTACTTTTCCTCAACTATCTAATGTTCACCCGTCTCCATTTTAGTCGATCGGTCTATAATTCTAAAATTTGATTGTAAGACTAAAAAAATAACTGCCAGGAATTTGGTATTTTTAGATTTAAGAAAAACAAATTGAAAATCACCAACTGACCGAACATTTGTTAATTCCCCCTGTAAATATGTAATACGAATATTCCTCAATAGCATAACCGACCCTTGTCAATTTGTAGCTTTCGAAATGCAATTAATTTCTATTAATAAGGATTTTAAAGAGTTTTGGCAGTTTTATTGTTGTAAAATGTTGTTGAAATGTATAAGTTCACCTGTTTTGTAATAAAAAAAAAAAAACAATGGAAATGTTAGTCTGTTAAAAAATTTACTTGGTTAAAAATCATTAACGACAATTGCGGCATTTTTCATTCAATAAAATATTTAATACTTTTTCATAGGGTTAAAATGGAATTTGTCGTTAAAGTGAATAAAAGAGAAAAGCTTAAGCAAAGCTGGCAGGACTTAAATATTTATTATAAATAAATTATTTCAAGCTGATGAATTTTAATGCTTAATTTTTTTCGTTTTTTTAGCGCCACCCTTGGCACGTTTTTTAAATCGTTCCTGACAACTTTGACGCAGGGTTAGGCAAGGCAGGTACTGCTAACTTGAGCCTTCACGATGAAATATTTCCAAAAGATTTGAACCACAACGACTTCGTGGTTGCCGATAGTAATAGATTCCAGTGCAGGAAGATTCTTAAGGCTACATGACTGGCTCCGGAGTGAGAATCTTTCCACCAAGTGGCTTATCTACGAGTACACATGTAAAAGGCTTTGTCCTGAATAACTGTCCTATCAACCCACAGCCTAAACCACCGATCGCAGGTACCTGAAACTTGTTGGATGTGTTCTGCATCAGATAAATTTATCATCATCATAAAAAAAAATCTATTAAAAAAAAAAAATCGTGTTTATATTTAAATCGTTCGATTTACATAAACTTGATATGGGGAACATTTTTTCTTTCGGCACCTTGTGTCAATCTATTCCAAAATTTGGTATTTAACGCTTGATTCATATAAAATTTGGTTCAGTATTAGCTTTACATCTAAATAACCATTTAAAAGACCCTTTTTTTCGGGCGGTGATCTAGGACCCACCTATCTTATACTAATCGAATTAATTCTAAAATCTTTATATTTACCTGAAATTTGGTACACAAGTAAAGCTTTGTCTAAATTGGCATGGAGAACACTTTTGCTTTTGGGGAGTGGCCCTGGTGCCGATTCGATGGACTCGGTTTTTTATGTGGAACTTATGTAGGTGGTTCTTTAACAAGGTCAATATGGGAGGATCTGTTCGGAAAAAATCGTTTTCATACTTCGATTTGCTTGATATATGGATCATAGCACTTTGTCCAGGCAAATATCCAGTATTCCGGTTGTGAGTAAGCAACGACCATCTATCTCGAAATCCGAATGCTTGAAAGCTATCGGGGTTGACTTAGGAAGCAAGATACATTTGAGGAAAGTAAAAATCAAATGGGACGAAATGCATGAGTAAGAAGAGCTTAAAAAGTTTGGTCAACCGAGGAAATGACGTAAAATTTTATGAAGAAATGATGATTCGGCAACTCATAGCAGATACACCAGTATAGAAACAAAGGGATGAGCTAATGATCATTACCCTGAGCTGACTAAGTTTTTTTTAGTGAAATTTTCTTCAGTCTGCAGAAACTGACACTGAAACTGAAACACTTTAAGTTGGAGAACTCGAATCCACAATGATGACGTAGTTTGAGGAGAACAGTGCGTCGGTAGTTGATGACTTTTGTGGTAACAGAGTTACTCAGGCATGGTGGCGTCATGGTGGCGAAGAGCTTACGTACCGCCCAAAGCAACGCCGATGACTGTAACCTTACTGTGTTCTGTCCAAGTTTTAAGAAGCTGTGTATTTTGCTCTTTATCATATCATGATTCACCTTAGTATCACATATATGGTTCTATTCAACGTACTGTTTGAAATATTAAAGACCGTCGTCAACGAAAAGATCCGGGATTATAAATGTGACTTTAGATGAGGTGAATTCAACATATTCACCTGGTGCTAAGTCTTGGAAAATCTTCGCCCACCTTGACAGCAGGGAGAAAAGTGAACTGTACACTTTTAAGTCTGAGATTTGTATTGTGTAAGCTAGCGCTGAGGATGCGACCATCCCAGTAAGTTTCAGCTGGGAGTGAAGAAAAAGGACTCTTTTGCAGCTCATGATTTCGGGTCTGTGATCAAATATCATTTGAGCAGCCCAAAATATCCTTTTCTCGTTGAGCTTATGTGAGAAGACGAAAAGTGCATTTGTGCTGGCAGAAACCTCATTCATCTCGCTTGAGATGGTGCCGCGAAGTCGTGGTTGGAGTTTGGAGCCGGAGCCAAAATAGCAGAGATTTACTTTCGAGCCAAGTTCATGTTATAACTGCCTTAGGCTGACTTATGTTAAGATGATGTAGACAAAAGGCCAATGGTGCAAGTTAGCACCCCATAGAACCTGTTCTTTTCTGTGGGAGACACTTGAGCTTTACAACTGACACCTTATATAGCGTGATAAAGCTTCCCAAATCAACTTACTTTCACCTAAAGCTTTATTCCCAAAATTAAATTTATTCACAATTTTTTCTAAAATAATTTGATTTGATTTAATTTAATTTAGTCTTTATGAAAACTAATTTTAATTTATGCAACCAATTATGCTATATTTGCACTCGGTTACTCTGAACTAGCATTTAATGCCATAAAAATTATATTTCTTTGAAATTAGTGTTCTCAGTTTCAGAACTTTTTTCTTTCCTGTATTAACTGTAAATTACCAAAACTCTAAACCCAATAAATTTGTAATTGAAAATTCTAAATGTTATACAATATAAATTTTTACTTTGAAGTGAAAGCTCACTCAGCTAATGAAAGCTAAACAGAATATGTATATGTAAACCAACACCAGCTTTCATTGTCTGCTAAGCAATTTTCCTGATTACTTTGTCATCAAAGAGAGGCAGCTGTTCTATTATTTTTAGATTACCGCATGCTTCACCAAATAATATAGTAGTATATATGTATATAGTATTTACATGTATCCTTGAACACGTATTTATATATTTGATATTTTCTTTTTTATTCAAGGCAGCAACACTTACAGCATCATTGAGCTCCGTTCCAACGCTTCATTACTTGCCAACTATTCGGTCAACATTCTAATAAAGAAAAGTGAAATCATGCATTTACACACACTCAAACATATGCTTTTGTACATATATACGTGTATATACAGATGTTATAACCAAATAGCACCGAGAAAAAGAATAAACGAAATACATTGAGAATGCCAGACAACTAACCAGCACAATTGTGGCAGCAGGAAAATAAAATTTCAAACTGAGTAGGAGAATGCGTGAGGATACTGAAAACTGTAATGAAAAGAAAATACTAGCAGTTGTTAAAATGCAATAGAAAGAGAAACTGAAAAAAGAAAATATTGTATTAAAAGATATCAAAAAAAAAAAGTTTCTGCAAAGAAAAAAGTAAGAAAATGCGCAATTCTTGCAAAGATGGCTTATCATCAAAGCTTCAAGAGATTGCGGATGAATAAATGTGGTAAGAGCGTTCTTGAGCGCTCTCCGTTTTTCGTACTATTTGCTTTTTTTTTTTTATTTATCCACATTGTTGCCTTTACGGTTGTAGCAATATGTGTGTTTATCGAGATTATTGTGGTGAGCTCTTTGATAAAACGATAACATTGCTGATACTTAAATGTTATTTTTATCTTAATCTTAATCTTTATCTTTATCTTTATCTTTATCTTTATCTTTATCTTTATCTTTATCTTTATCTTTATCTTTATCTTTATCTTTATCTTTATCTTTATAATTTTCTTAAAAATAAAAAATGCAGTCTAAGTAAGAACACAGCAGGTGACTAAATGGAAAGTGACATAACATGGTCATGCCAATACATAAAGAATGTTGCGTCTACCAGGATTAGTCAAAAGTAAAACCCAGCGTTGATAGTAGAATCCACTCAAAGAAACTTAGTATGAGCAGGTAATTTCGACTACTGAATTGTTTTTTACGCAAAATCGATGGTCATACATGAGGTTGTTAATTATTTAGCTCTAATGGTACTCTCGGAGAATTGAATTTATATCTTCTCGGAGAGCAAGGTCAGTATCAAGAGCTCCACAATCTGCCAACGAGATTGCTAAGCAGTTCTTCCTGAGTGTAGTAAAACAAGACTTAGTAAAATACCAGCGTAACGAGATGACGGACGAGCTTGAAATGAAGGGTACATACAAAAGTCTGGTCGTGCCGCTCCTATCTGTGAGCTTAGTTTAAGGGGGCTATTCATATCAGATTCTAGTTCAAGTCCTAATTTATACAATGTGTTCAGGATAATGTGGCTGGCGTGGAATAAAAAATGGTCACTAGCGCAAGGTACAAAATATCTGCATTAATGGGTCTTCTTCTAGGATTACTTTTACTAGATAGACGCACAGAGGGGCTAGGCAAGACCTGTAGAAAAGAGAAACGACCTGAACATTAGGGCACTTGGGAGGAGTAGGTTAAGGTGGGATGCAAAGATACGTCGATCGCTCTGTTCTGCCTACTCCACACGGCAATTTAACTAGCAAAGGCGGTCTAACGGTATCCTTAGTGGTAATGTAGGCCGTTTGAAGGCCCAAGTGAACGGCCTGGGTTTGTGTGCGTAGCCAACTTTAAGTATTTTGTGAAATTGCAAATCTGCTAATGAATGATAAAACTTCTGATGTATAATTTATTTCCGAAATTGTGAAATCAATGAAGTTGAAGAGGATGACAGTAATTTTATCCAGTTGCAATATCAATTCCATAATTATATCGGGTAAAACCGTAAAAAGAAAAACATATAAAAATTAAAAAAAAAGCCAAAAAGCAGAGGTTCACTGACCAAATCCTGATCTTTATTTTTGGCACGAAAAAAGGCAGAAGCAGAATAAATTGCCCAAAAAATATTTATGAAATCAATATTCGACGAAATGAGCGACCATTAACAATAAAGTCATCGTCATGGCGACGGCGTTGTCTCCAAATGTAGCATTAAATGAACGCACCGAAAAGTGCCAGAATAAAAACATACGAAAAATCCGAATGACATTGAGCCAAGCAACGCCAATGGATGCTAAGCAGCGTGAAGAGTCAGCGAAGTGTAGAGAACGGTTGAGAGCGCGACGTGGAGAAAGTATTTGAAAAGTTAAGCAAACTGTTGGATATCATGCTGAAAAGTGGGCGATAAGAAATATTGGAATATTTGCGTGAAATCAATGAGACAAGCATAATGTGTCATACAAGTCTAGCCAAATCAAGTTGAAACGGGGCGCACATACCCTTCATCAGCAGCAGGCAATGGCGGTGGCAACGGCAGAGGGAAAGCGTTGAGAAAGGCGAAAGAGCGTGATGCCTTGAACTTGAACTGTCAATGGGGCGCGCATCAAAGTTGAATAGGAAATTACAAGCATATAGACAAACCTGCATATGTATGTATGTGAGTTTTTCAGCAAGGTTGGCATAACATAAAAATATATATAAGTAAGTATGTCGTTGAATTTGTTTACATGTAAAAATAATGAGGACGAGTTCAGATGAATACACCAGAATGTACACGAACTTATGTTTGTATATATGTAAATATGTAAGGCACATGATGGGCGCTGATATTCTGTAGTGTTGCGCTGGCAATAATTACAACAGATATATGTGTATGTGTATGTATAGGATGAGAGTATATTAAGCGGAAATTTTTATAGCAATTAAATCTATAACTATTTAAATTATTTTATTTTTTAAATTATTAATTGTAAAAATTTATTTTCAAAACAAACGGCTGTTGGAATGAAATTTTGTTTACTCAAAGTTAACAAAAAAAAAAAAAGAAATCCTTTCATCTTTGCGATGGCGATAGCTTAATCGCATTTGAAGTTGCCTGCAATAGCATGGCAGGGAGCATGCCATAGGCAGTTATGTCTGAATTTGGTATCCTCGCAAAACTTAGGGACTGTGTAGACTGATGCTGAGCAGCACCAAAAGTTTCTCTAAACCGGTTAGAATCTTCGATCCGATAAGAAGGGAAAATGATTAGGTCTGGTAGTGAACAATGAAAATACGATATACCTCCTTGACGAAGAACGCAGTCGGCTCTTGAATACCACGTCCCTGTTGACAGTGTTAATTTCGAGATCAAATCTTGGAACCAGTATTAAAACCAACAACAATATCAGTCTGGAAATCCGACACAGAAACACTCTTGCCGACAAAATGGTACTTTGGACAGAGTAGGCGATTGAAAAATAAAGTCCTCTCTCGACGAACGAAGGCCAAACTCTACAAGTCGCTCATCATTCCCGCCCTGGTACATGTGAAGGCAAGGACGAAAACAACATTTGATGAGCCGGCGTTGAGAACTTACGGGAGAATGATTTTGCGTAAGAAATTTACACACTGGCAAATTTAGTTCAGCGAATCAATGGTTTGCCATCTCCTGGTTTTTCATTTGTATTGCGATTCAGCAGACTGGAGGGATGTTCTCTCTCTCTCTCTCTACGCATCAATCGATTAACCAACACTTCGGATCCTATAAGAGTATGAAACGGTCTTGAAACGTTCTGTAAGTTTGAAAGATATTTGATTGGAGTTTTGGAACCATAGTTTCCTCGACCAAGCTCTCAAGTGCTCCATAACAAACCCTTTTATGCGCTATTTTATGTCTCCTTCCCTCTTAACTCTTGGTAAGCCTGTTTTTTATCATTACAGTTCAACATTCCTCATCGTACCAGCTCTTTTTCTTAATTTATCGAAAACTTAGTCTTTTGGTAGGGCAGCTTAAAATCTTATACAACCATTCTCTTACATCGAGCTGCTGATGAGTGCCCGAGAAATGGTATGCAAATCGAGCAAAACAATTTGCTTCTCTGTTGTGATTGCAAATTTTCGGACGTCGAACCTTCTTTTTGCTTGTTGAAGGGCGTTCTTTGCTGCGCTAATATAATGATACGAGTCGTTGTAAGGTCTGCGGAACGTACGCACATCTAGAACACTGTAGACCTGCCTTACGTCTAACATAACCATACCGATTTGTTTGTGTGTACCATTCTTGGGGTATCGTCAAGTTATTTAGTGAAGTATCATCCTTTGTGACGGGTCACCCTACACTTAAGTGGCGGTTTCGCTTTCTCTCGCTACTCGTCAGTGTTGTTTTCCTGCTCTATGGGAATCTGGAAAGCAGATTTCAAAGAAAACTACAAACCTCTAGTGTTGTGTTCACCGCCGATGAATAGTGATTCGACCTGAGGTGGGTATTATTTATAGTTGTCACTACATCAAGTCTTTCGATGGCCGTTAAAACCTTTAGGAATGAGCTACAGTAGAGCTTGACATTACAGCAAGACCAGTCACGAAGGTGTATGCTTCCTTCGAAATGGATTGGACTGGATGCACATTACGTTCAAGGCGTTTGGAGGATTCAATACAAATAATCTTTGTATATTCCCCTTTAACACACCCAGCAGCTGCTAAAATCCAACAAATATGTATATTTACATGATGGGGTCATGCCACAGCTATGTCTGTCGCACGATTAATGAACAAAGAACATATACTCATATATATGTATATAATATTTACAGCACTTTTGTAAGTACGATGAGCTCTCGAGTCATCCATCTATCTGCTTACAACTGCCACAAGCAATTAAATAAACACAAATTTAAATTTATTGCAAATGGAAAATCGGCAAACGCTTGAAAGGGGCAAACATACGTGTATATGTATATATGTATATGTATGTGTATGTACGAGTATGCTTGTATGTACAATAGAGTATGCACATATGTTCCGGCATGCCCGCATTGCTATTAAAATAGACAAATATGATTGATGTGCATTTTGTGAGCGTTCAGACAGCCAGCTAGTCGACCACACGCTCGCCGTTGGACAATCTCACCCGCCGCCCTCGGGTGACAAGCAAATCGCCGAAGGTACACATGTGGCATTCTCAAGGGAGAGACATATTGTACATATGTACATACAAGTATTTGTGCTTTTGTCGGGCGACTTGTTATTTGAATTTTCTAATACGGAAATAAATAAATTGCTACAATGCACGAGAGTCAACACTCGGTTAACAGTTAAATAGACGGACGGACCGACGGAGAGGCAGCCAGACAGGCAGGCGGCTGTGTAAACACTATATCAGGCAAGCAGTCAAGCAGTCAAGCAGTCAAAGAGGAGGCGAGCGTACAACGCAATGAACATCATATGGTCGGACAAGCGAAATGGATAAATGCTTTGGCAGGCAGACATTGCAGTTTGCTTATTTACAAAACAAGCGTTCGCTCGTTGCTTTCAAGTTTATGAAGATAAGAAAACATTGAAATATC